ACAGAGTCTCGCTCTGTCACCCAGGCGGAGTGCAGTGGTGTCATCCTGGCTCACTGCAGTCTCTGCCTCCCAGGTTCAAGTGCTTCTCCTGTCTCAGCCTCCTGAGCAGCTGGGACTACAGGTGTGCGCCATGACGCCCAGCTAATTTTTTGGTATTTCGTGTAGAGACAGGGTTTTGCCATGCTGGCCAGCTGGTCTTGAACTGCTGACCTCAAGTGATCCACCCACCTCAGCCTCCGAAAATGCTGGGATTACAGATGTGAGCCACTGTGCCTGGCCTCAACTTACTTCTGTCAATCTTACTAACTCTTTTCTATCCCTCAAACCCCTTATGTCCTTACTCCCCCACCCCAACACACACACACATCTAGCCAACTTGCATATAACGTAACCTCATTTCTCTTGGCCCTCTTCGTTTGTCCTACTCACCCAGCAAAATCAAAACCTAGTTAAATGAATCTTTCTATCTGTTTTGTATCTTCACAGCTTTATAAGGCAGGAGAAAAATCACACAGATTTACTGACTGCACTTACCTTAAATCCATGACCAACTATTAATATATTCAGTTAGGTTCTTAGTGTTGCCTGGCAACTTCTTGCTTTTTGCTTGTCTATTCACTCTTCCCTCTAGAGGACTGTTTTATCTCTTCTTTCTCCTTAGTTATCTAACCTCTCCTCCCAGTTAAAAAGATAACCTCTGCATGCCCACAGCCATTTCATCTACCAGCCTGCCTGCATTTGCACCCATGTGCTCCGCCTTTTCTACCTTACTTTTTTCTAACTACATGCTTCTATTTAAAGACAATCTCTCTGTTTCCGTACTGGTTCACATCTTTTCTGGCCTTCACAAGGTGATCGCTTAACCACTTTTTCCTTTTCTCTCCTACTTCGTAAAATGTTTCATATTAGTTCATTTCCATTGCTATCCAAAATGCCTTACCACCTCCCATGGAGGCTGAGTGGAAGTTTTGGTAAGTCTTGGCCTAGTTGTGGTTCACCCCTCTATTTTGGATGAGGCCTCCCAAACTGAGAGCTGAGTATTTACAAGGGCCTGACTGCTGGATGATCCTGTATTCGAGTGTGTGTTTGTTTCCTCAGCACTGGTAGACTGTGGAAAACTCTACTATTTTTTCAGAGGTTTGGGGGCTTAGCTTTTTACCTTAAAGACCTGTAGAAGTTTGGAATTTGACAAATGATTTGGTTCAGAAACAAGTCTCAAATCTCCATTTTGTCACCTCAGCTCTGAATAGCTGTCAAAAGCTTAGGTGGTTTCTCTGTCTTCCAGCAGGAGTTCTTTGCCTAGTTGAAGCCTGATTTCTTAGTGTTTTCCCAATACCTAGAATATGACACTTTCAGGGGGAAAAAATAACTGCATATCCTCCAATGATTCCTCTCCAGTTAATTCCTCTTTAGAATCTTAGACACTCAAGCCATTATTGCAGCAACAGCCCTCTGATACCTTTAGGCAGATGTTTTTGTATTAAATCTGGCTTTTCTTGTTCTTGAATGAAGCATTGGTTCACCACAAATGATTCCATGCTGTCTAGACATGGAAGTAAGTTAACTGAAAATAAGCACATAGAGCATAATTAAATTCACTACCACTCATTCCCTCTTCCTATCTTTTCTCCCTCCACTGACTTTCATGGTATAAAAGGATAAATAAATAAGAAGTTAACATTTGGTAATATTTGCTGACAAGTTGTTATGTATAAATACCACTGCACTATATTTATGGTTATATTTTATGAGAAAGGAGTTGTTTAGTTATTTTGACTTGCTTATTTGCAAGCCTTATGGCTCAATAAATACTCATTTTAATTTTTATGTTACAGTCATTATATACTTACACTTTTGAATTATTGTCTTATATTTCTGAATGGAAACTTTTCTTAACTTTGATTTTTTAAAAATAAACTTGTTGGAATAGTTTTAGATTACAGAAAAGTTTCAAAAATAGTACAATATAGACAGCTCCCATATATTATCCAGTTTTGGTTTTCCCTAATTTTGTTATCTTAAATCATTGTGATGTGTTCGTGAAAGTTAGGAAACCAACATTGGTACATTAGTATCAATTCAACTCTAGATGTTATTCAGAATTCACCAGTTTTCATTAGTGTCCTTCTTATGTTTCATAATTCAATCCAGGGTAGCATATTGCATTTAATTGTCACGTTCTTCCAGTCTCCTCTGGTTGGTGACAGCCTATTCATCTTTCCTTGTATTTTTTTCCTCCATAACCTCAATAATTTTGAAGAGTACCTCTCACATATTTTATAGAATATCTCTGAATTTGGGTTTGTTTTTCTCATGATTAAAGTGAAATTTTGAGTTTTGGGAAGGAATACCACAGGGATTTTGCCTTAATTTAATTTAATTAAATTAATTTTTTACTTACTTTGAGAATGGATTCTCACTCTGTCATCAAGGCTGGAGTGCAGTGGCACCATCTTGGCTCACTGCAACCTCTGCCTCCTGAGTTCAAGCAATTTTCTTGCCTCAGCCTCACAAGTAGCTGGTATTACAATCAGGCGCCACCACACCTGGCTAATTTTTTGTACTTTTTTAGTAGAGACAGGGTTTCATCATGTTGGCCAAGGTGGTCTAGAACTCCTGACCTCAAATGATACGCCCACCTCAGCCTCCCAAAGTGCTGGGATTACAGTTGTGAGCCACCGTGCCCAGCCTTAATTTTAAAGCTATTATTTAGCATCAGACATTTTCTAATTATGTCTTCTGTATAGTGCTAGGAAAACTTTAGTCACATTCCATATAGATATTAAAAAGTTCTGGTTCAGTGATAAGTTGTTGACTTTGATATACTTGATATCTTACTTTATTTTTCAAATCAAGTCAAAATCATTTATTTACTTTAACTGGCCTAGTTAAAAATGTTACCTTTTTCAGATAAATTGTTATACTCTTATTTATCCCAAATTGTTTTTTCATTTCTCTTCTATCTCAAACTGAGAGCCAAAAGCCTTAAAGTCTTTCATAGCATTAATTTAAAAATTATAATTAGCAATTGTTTGATCAAGGAATTATATTACCAACCAGTCCTCTATTCTGTCTTTATCATTTTTTTGGCCAGTTCACACTTCCCTATTTTATTCAAATTGTAGAAATATCTGGAATCAGAAGATAAAGCTGTAAAATTCCGTTTCTTCACTATTCTTTTCCGGGATCTTTCAGATTATTATTCTATCCAAACAAAAAATTTAGAATTTTAATTGCAAAGATTTGTATAGAATTACAGAATTTTAAATTTCATAGGACCTTAGTAGTCATCTAGTTAAATTGTTCACTAAATTAAGGATCTGATCTGTCACTAATTTTTAATTTAGTCAAATATCCATCTTCTGTTAATATCTAGCCATTGATGTTAGAATTGGTCTCAGAACATTTGATCATATTATTTGCATCAAATATATTCAAATATTTATCAGTAATGTCTTAAGTCATGAGGGCTAGGCCTAGAAGCACAATTGGACCCAGGTCACACATCAGTAAGCAACAGAAAATTATTGAACTAGCCAGGATTGGTGATTTATTAGCTTTGAGGGCTGACTTTATTGGGAGATACAGTAATTAAAGTAATTATTCCTAGATATTCTGGCAAAATTAGGCTAGCTCTAGGGTATGTTTTCCTTATAAGGGTATACATAAATGGGCAAGGCCTGGCACCTGGAGGCTTTGGGTCTTATTGGTATTTGTAGTTAGTAAGATAATATTGTAGAGCTCTTCATTGATTGGACCCTTGCCGGTACCTAAGTGAGGGGCCCAACCCCTGGGACCTGAATAAGTCAGGTATGAGAATGGGGGTAACTATATGGA